TGGGGGATGGTGGTTGCACAACTCTGTTAGTACACTAAAAACCACTGAGTTATCCGTTTTAAATAAGTGAACTGTGGGTATGTGAACTCTACTGCAGTAAAGCTGTTACGTTAAAAGAATCTTTCTCGCCCGCTTGTCCTTGTGATGCTCAGGGTACAATAGCAAACTCGCTGACCTGCGTGCAGCTTCATAAGAGAGCTGAGAAGATAGCTGTGATGCTGATGGAGAGGGGGCACCTGCAGGACGGAGACCACGTCGCACTCGTCTACCCACCAGGTAAATAGCTGGGCTCAGGGCGGTGTGGACTCCCGAGAGGCGGGGTGGGCTCCGGGCGAGGAGGCGCTCGCTGCACCTGCTAGTGCCTGGGTAGAACCGCAGCATTGCTGCCAAAAGTTTGCATTGTGTCCAGTTAGGTTCTGGCCAGGCTCATTTGTGTCCAGTTACCACCACTCACAGGGATGAGGCCATGTGTTGTGCTACTTTTAGAGGCTTTTGTAAATAAAGCAATATTTACAAAGGACTTTGTATCTACATTTGTTTCATTAGATATCTGAAGTAGTTCCTTACAGTAGTTAAATCTTTACTAAACTGGTAATCACCCAGTTGAGCAAATCCCTAGAGAAAGGACATAGGAATTAAACTTCTAGGCTGCTTTGGCATCTCATGCCTGGAAGAAGAACAGGCCAAATTTTCATTAGATATCTGAAGTAGTTCCTTACAGTAGTTAAATCTTTACTAAACTGGTAATCACGCAGTTGAGCAAATCCCTAGAGAAAGGACATAGGAATTAAACTTCTAGGCTGCTTTGGCATCTCATGCCTGGAAGAAGAACAGGCCAAACAAAAGTGATCGCCAAAGCTTCCCAAAATCCCAGGGACACAGGAGTCTGTTAAAGGTTTATTTGCTCGCTTAACTGTCTAACTTTTCCCAGACTGGTGTTTGTGCTGACAGGGACGGCGGCCGTTGAACAGTATGATTTGCTTCAAGAAGGAACTTCTGCTTTTCTCCTTGTGTAGGAATAGACCTCATTGCAGCATTTTATGGTTGCCTGTATGCAGGCTGTGTGCCAATAACTGTCCGTCCTCCCCATCCACAAAACATCGCAACGACACTGCCTACCGTCAAGATGATTGTGGAGGTAACGGAAACCTGGACTTGGGCACTCATCTGCCCCAGGTCTGAGTGTTGAGCTCGCAGGTCACAGACCCTGCAATCTTCCAGGGCAGTGCAGGCTGTGGGAGAGTGTGTGTGTGTCTGGAACCAAAGTACTAGTACAGAAAATGGTCCCTGCCTTCAGCAAACTTACGATCTACTCTGAAAGCAAAATTTACACTGTGCCTGGAAGTAGGGGCTACACTGCACAGAAACTGAAGGTGCCCTAGAGAAAGTAGCTCCCTAGAGAGGTGTCCCAACCACCACTGGGGCTTCCCACCAATCCCAGTGGAGCAAAGCATCCAAGTGAGGAAATCCCTTCATCAAGATTTAGAAATTTCCTGTTCCTTTTTGAAAGTATAGGTTTGTTTTAAATTTTTTTACACCTGGAGAAGTTTAAGAGGATTAGGATAAGTTTTTCCCCATGGGAGGAGGAACCATGAGGAGCAAAACATTCAGGGACAGAAAATGCCAATGTCCTGGGACCAGTTAGTTTCGATGCCCTTTCCTGAGTGGGATTGAATGCTGTGATACCACTCGGCGCCTGGGTGCAGGTCCAGGACCCTGAGCCCCTGTGCTGTGCCCTTGTACTTCTGGGGCCAGGTTCCGTGCTCCCTCGAGCCTCAGCAAACCCTGCAGGAAGCAGCAGGGTGGTGGTGATCTCATCTGCCAGCTACAGCGCCCTGGTTTTAATATGCGTAATGAGCACTAGGCATGTGCGTGATGAGTTCTCAGATTTTGTCATTTGTGGCTGGCGTTCATTCCCTCCTTGCTCTGTTCTCTGGCCCTCAGGTGAGCCGGTCTGCCTGTCTGATGACAACGCAGCTGATCTGTAAGTTGTTACGGTCAAGGGAGGCGGCGGCAGCGGTAGATGTCAGGACATGGCCCCTCATACTGGACACAGGTCAATACTTGAACTAGCCAGATAAGTTTGTTTGCTTGCATGGTTTTTAATTATGGGGATAGGCTAACAGCTTTGTTTTGCTCTCCAGATGATTTGCCAAAGAAGCGGCCTGCCCAGATCTACAAACCTTCTAACCCAGACACGCTCGCTTATCTTGATTTCAGTGTGTCCACAACTGGGATGCTCGCTGGCGTAAAGGTGAGAGGGGCCAGCAGGCCACATACAATTGATTGTCAGTCTGTGCTCTTATGTACAGCAGGGCTCTGACAGAATGTGGAAAGAGGTGTAGATGAGCATTTCGTTCATGCTGTAGAATGTGTGACCATTTCACTAGTTGACTAGGCTGATTGATTATTTCCAAATGCTTCGACAATTTTTTAATGTAAACACACAGTCTCACCAGCCCAAATTAGAATACTGCATGTGCTTTTCTTTCCTGCTGGCTCCAAATCCGAGTGCTCTTGTGGTGAGTCTCTGCACACTGCAGATTCTTGCTTTTTAAATTTGTGTTCCGTTACAACCTGCCAGATTGCTGCTCAGTGAAGCTGCGATGATTCTTTTTCTATTAAAGAATGGACCTACTAAGATGTCACCCAGAATTATAGCCCTCACAGCTCAGGTGATGTCCTTGCCAAGGTTCTACACAAAACTGAGCCATTAAATTCTCCGTGGCCTCAGCAGCCTTTGCCCTCTTACCTGTGCCTCTGGCCTGCCTGGTGAGTTTGTTTCACTCACCTCGTTTAGTTCTCACACTCCATCCATCAAACTAACACAATGTAAAATAAAATAATTTTTCAAAAGCTGTTTAAAAGAAAGGGAGAAATGTATTCAGACCAAGGTGAATTAATTTCAGTAGCACTGAAGTCAGCCAAAGCCAAACTGCACTGGAAGGCAGATCTGCCCAAGATAAGTCACAAAACATATCCCAGAATACAGATAGTTGACCTCATCCCTGATTTCTCCACATCGGTATGTCTCCTCTCAGTGTCTCTGTTAGAGTACATCATTAGTTTGTTTTGGGGGCTTTCAGAAAACTAATTCTTCATCCAAGGCTATCTTAATGAGAATTGGGAGTTTTTCTTATATTTTCTTGAAAAGCATTCCACCTTGGGCTCTTTGATTTATGATGTTGCCAGGGTCCAAGAGTGGAATGAGTTTAGAGAGTGAGCATTCAGCTTTCTTAGTTGCTTTTCTCTTAACCTGTTTCCATTCTTGTTGCAATGTTGAAGTCATCCTGGAGATACAGCATGCTCTGTAACCCCCCACCAGGGTAGTGGGAACACCCCCTGCCCCTCTCCCCATCTCTACACTCAATACACATTTCTCCAACACTCACGCAATGTTGAAGTCATCCTGGAGATACAGCATGCTCTGTAACCCCCCACCAGGGTAGTGGGAGCACCCCCTGCCCCTCTCCCCATCTCTACACTCAATACACATTTCTCCAACACTCACAGATCTTGCAGTTTATCAGCTTGTATCACTGATTTTCCCACCAGATTGAGCACCTGAGGGCAGGGCTGGGTCTTACTCTTTTATATTCCTGGCATCTAACACAGTGCCTGATCCATATTAAGCACTCAGTATATCAGTATGTGCCGGCTAAGCTGAAGAACTCAGTTTTCCAGCTGTAAGCAGTGCCTTGCACAGAGCAGCAGTTCAGCACAGGTTTGCTTGGTTGCTGATCTGGGTGTGCAGGTAACTTTGGTGGGTAAGATTTTACTAACCCTGATCCCGGGAGGCAGAAGAATGAAGGAATATTTTGCAAATCCAGCCTTCTTTCTCCTTTAAGAAAATGTTGTGGCATTAAAAAGTAAGCTAGAAAAATTGCTTACATTTTACATACTAGAGTAATTCTGCATTATCCTATATGAATCCAGTAAAATGTCCATGATGAAACCTCCTCTGGGGCGGAACTTCTAACAACATCTGACATTTTTCAGTGAGAGTCTCCCCCAGCCCCAGCTTCTCTCTCTTGGGAGTGAATGGGCCAGGCTTCCCTGGTTATCACGATGCTCCGTGCTGGGCCCCTTTACAGCTCACCTCTGGGCGACATGCACTTCAGATTAATGTGTTACATGCTGTAAACCATGAAGCTGGTCATTTTTTGTGCTGCTTTTCCTTCCCTTTCTCTTCTACGTTTGTTTGGCTAGAATGTGTCTATGAGAAAATGGATTTTATTAGATCTATTTCACAGTATTTTGAAATAATTCACACTACATACTGACCATAGTGGGACTAACACTGGGACGGGGAAAGGCAGGGGGTTCGTTCTTCACTGCAGTTTGGTGATGACAGGGAGGAGGCTGGATGTGGGCTTCTGCCTCCCAGCAGGTCGGCCAGATGATGGGAAGGGCTTTGGGCTCAGTGTGGGGGCTGGGGTTCTAAATCCTTCAGCAGTCTTTAACTTTTCTGAGTCTCCATTTCCTAATCATTAAGACAGGGATGACTCATCCAGCATGTGTTCCTGGTTGCCTGTTGTGTGGCAGGTGTCAGACCCTGGAGTTGTCACAGGAACAAGGCATGGTCTCTGCCCGCAAGGGGGCATGAACCAAGGCCCTGTGCCACCTACTTAACAGGCTATTGTAGGGATCACACGAGACCCCCAGAGCTATTAGGTCCTGGAGGACCAGGAAGTTTTCAGTGGGTTTTATTATCTAAATCCTTCAGCAGTCTTTAACTTTTCTGAGTCTCCATTTCCTAATCATTAAGACAGGGACGACTCATCCAGCATGTGTTCCTGGTTGCCTGTTGTGTGGCAGGTGTCAGACCCTGGAGTTGTCACAGGAACAAGGCATAGTCTCTGCCCGCAAGGGGGCATGAACCAAGGCCCTGTGCCACCTACTTAACAGGCTATGGTAGGGATCACACGAGACCCCCAGAGCTATTAGGTCCTGGAGGACCAGGAAGTTTTCAGTGGGTTTTATTACGCGTACACAGATGGATGTTTCTTGGCATTTGTTTTCAGATTATACATAAATGTTTACTGTATAAATTTAGAAAATATAAATAATACAAAGAAGAGAATGAAGCCATCAGTAATCATGCCACCTAATAAATGGTGGAACCAATAAATGTCCACTATGAGCAGTTTGGCCTATAGTCTTTCAGAGGTTATTTTCCAATGTAGCATACTGACTTTTTACTATTAACATTTTCAAACATATACAAGTGTGTAAAGTGTATATACTTTATATGCACTTTATATATAAATGTATAAAGTTTGCTATAATAAACATATACAAATTTATAAAGTATACACACTATGTATCTAAATGCATAAAATATGCTATAATAAACATACAAGTTTTTAAAGTATATACACTTCATATATAAATGTATAAAGTATCCTATAATAAAATAAACAGTGTATAAAGTATATACACTTTATATGCACTGTATATACAAATGTATAAAGTATCTAATAAACATATGCAAGTGTATATGTTTAAAGTATAAAGTACACTTTATATACAGATGTATAAAGTATGCTATAATAAACATATACAAGTTTATAAAGTATATACTTTATATACAAATATATAAAGTATGCTGTAATACATATAAATACACATTATTTATAAATGTGTAAAGTTTGCTATACTAAACACAAGTGCCCATTGTCCAGCTTTACATGTATCAATATTTTATCAATTTTGTTTCATCTATTTCTCTACTTTTCCCTTTTTTTATGGGATATTTTAAAGCAAACACAAATATCATATGATTTTACTTTACCTATTAATATGTATGCATACAGTTTTATATATAAATATACATTAATGTATTGATAAAACTGAGATGCTATAGTATGAAATTCATTTTAATTTTCTTTTTTCTTAATAGGTCATAGTGGACATTTTCTCATGTCTTTAAACACTCTTCTAGAACAATTATTTTTAATACATTCATAATATTTAATAGTATTGATTGGGTTAAAATCCAATCCTGTGTTTTTGGAAAACACTGACATTCTAACTAGGACAATTAAACTTTTCAAGAGAGCACATAGAACTGAATATATTAAATATTTAATGATTTTTGATTCCATCCAAAATGCAATAGTTGGGAGTAATTTTTTTTTCCTTGGGAAGTAGCTCAGAAGTGTGCCATTCCAACAGCTGGGCTGAAGCACCCCAGACCTATGGGCCCAGTGGGGCAAGGCGGCAGAGCCTGTTCTCAGCTTCCATCTCTGTAGGATGATGGTGTTTGATTTGTCAAGGTGTCCCCGTGCAGCCAAGGCCAGCGAATGGAAGAGTTTCTGCTTCTGCAGCCTTACCAAACCAAACAGCCCACAAAATCCACAGAGAAGGTGCTTGTTGAAGGGAAACTAGGTGCTTGATGTGAGTTACTGATAGTGGCTACTGAAGGGGTTGCCCAGGTAGGCTGTCCAGGTTGCAGGGAACCTTTATTTTAAGGAACGTCCTTCCTGCAGATTCATTCAGAAGTCACAAAATCATAGTATTCTGTTGCTTGCCCCTGCAACAATAAAAATAAATATATTACAGCTGTAAAAGTCTTCGTTTTCTGAAATTCTCTGTAGAGACAGATCCCAATGGACTTGCTTCCCAAAAAACTTGCGTCTTAGATGCACAATCACTAGTACAAAAGTTGGAAATAATAAAACCTTCCTTTCCCATGCGGTTCTGTGGGTCTGGGGCGAGGGTGAGGCAGGAGAGGCCCGGAGGGTATGCAAGGTGAAGGAGGCATCACTCTTGGGCCAGGCACAGAAGTGCCCACGCAGGGTGGGGAAGGTGGTGGTGGAAGAGCTGCCTGTTCAGCATGTCAGAGCACAAGTGGAAGGGAGAAAGCGTCCACATGGAGAGGCAGCTGTGTGGGGTGTGGAGCCAGGCCGGGCAGGGAAGTGCTGGGGGAGTCAGAGCTTGTTCCAGGGGGTGGGTGGTGGCAGAGGGAGGCTGGCTTCATACGGGAGATTGAAAGTAAGTATGTGTTTTAGCAATAGTGGAAGCCAGATTCCTCCATTTTGGCAAAGGGTGTTATAAATACAGAAAGAAAGTACAGTCAGCCCTGTGGTGCTGGATGGCAATTAGTGTATTATTGTGACTCATGCTTTTCAACAAATGCTGGTAGAGTTAGAAATGTGGGTGCATGTGTGTGCTGTATGAGGGAATGAACACATAGACGTACGCCCTAGCCCTGTCAGACCGCAGCGGCAAGGAGCACACCTCACATCCATATCTTGGCTGTTAAATACATTTTCCTCTAAAATGGACTAGGGCTCTCAAGAAATGGCTGATTTCAGGGCTGGGACAGGATATGTGCAAGATGACCCTGGAATGTCTTTTTAAACTACAAAGCAAGGAAATGCTCAAAGAATGATGAGGTCATGTCAAAAGCACAGAAGAGCCAATTTGAAGGGGTGCAAATGGCTGATTTCAGGGCTGGGACAGGATATGTGCAAGATGACCCTGGAATGTCTTTTTAAGCTACAAAGCAAGAAAATGCTCAAAGAATGATGAGGTCATGTCAAAAGCACAGAAGAGCCAATTTGAAGGGGTGCGCCCTGACCAAATTAGGGACAATTTGAGCATCAGAATAAAGATTACAACAGATTTTAACACTTTGGACAAAATAGGAAGTTATCCAACTATTCAGATGCAAATAGGTGAGAAAACTGAAAGCCTGAAGAACAAAGATATATGTAGTAGCCATCCCAAAATAGTTCTGAGGAGGAAGGAGAAACTTCTCAGAAGGGGGCCGACTCGCATGATGAAAGCAATCTCCTCCAGGGGTGCAGTGAAGTCCTGTATCACTAGGCGGACAGGTGAGAAAACAGCATCACATCCTCTGCATTTCCCCCAGAGATGCTTAATCAGGATCTAACCACGTCTAAACATCAGACACCCACACTGAAAGACATTCGACCACATGGCTGCCTGTAACCTTCCAAATCTTGGTGTCCTGAGAGTCAGGGAAATGTGGAGAAGCTGCTGTCCTGGGCAGAAGGACGCTGAGAGAGCACAGCTCAAATGCCCCGTGCAAGTCTGAGCTGGATCCTTTTGCCATAAAAGGTGCATTTGTGACAACTGGCAAAACATGAATAGGGTCTGAGCTTAGATGGAAGAAATGTATCAGTTTTCTAATTTTGATGGCTCAGTTGGTTTGTGGAGGAAAATAACTTGTTTGTTGGAAACACCCCCTGAAGTACCTGGGGTTGATGGAGCATCGGGCTAGTGACTCACTGTCAAATAATTCAAGGGGAAAAGGTTTTTTTTAACTGAGTCTGTAAATTTTCTGTAACTTTGTGATTGTTTGAAAGTAAAAAACAAATACAAATAGTTTTTTGTATATCTTCATCCTAAAGCTCTTTCAATCATAAAATAGGTTGTTTATCTGAGAATCATTGATATGATGGAGTTGATTCAAAATATTTTTAAGACCATACATGTCTTTAAAGAGTATGTCCATATGCATGGATTAGAAGATTCAGTATTATGAAGATGGCAGGTCTCCCCAAGTTGGTCTATAGATTCAGTGTAATCCCGATCAAAATCTTAGCACACTTCTTTGCAGAAATAGACAACATGATCCTCAAAGGAATATAAGGGACCCACAATAGCCAACACAATTTTGAAATAGAATAACAAAGAAAATTCAGACTTCCATTTC